CAACTATGCCTACATGCCGACCCCGTCCTTCTACAACCCGCAAGCTGCCCAGCAGATGGCGCCCAAGCCTCAGCCTACACCGCCCGCCGCCCAGTACCAGTTCACGCACCCCATGCCCACACATTCTCAAGTCCAGTACATGCAACAAGAGCAGCAGCGCCGGCAGTCCATGCCACCCACCTTCCAGCAGCAGCAACAGGCACAGCACCAACATCAGCAGCAGCAGCAACACCAGCATCAACAAGAGCAGCAGGCCCAGGTACAAGCGCAACAACAGGCTCAGGTGCAAGCGCAGCAACAAGCACAACAACAGGCCCAGCAACAAGCCCAGCAGCAGCAACAACAGCAACAGGCTCAGCAGCATCGATTGTCTCCACCACCTCCACCCCCGCAAGTGTCCCAGCCGCAACAAGAACACCCGCAACAGCCCACAATCACCGTTCCGTCCCCGCCGCAACAGAACGATTTCCAGAGCCCCCCTCTTCCTCAGCCCAAGCCGCTACACGCGTCTGCCAGACACAGCATCTTCACACCCATCGACGATAGCCAGTCCATGCTCGCAGCACACTGGGGCAGCAGCAACAACTCAAACATGTCTCGCAGCGAAGCTCCCTACATCAAACAGGAGAACCGAGCGCAGTCGATTGACGTGGCCGCCATGTCGCGATTGCAGCCAAACGGGGACCCGAAGCCTCAAGCGCAGCCTCCACAAGCGCCTGTTCAGCAGCCGCCGCAGCGAACCCAGTCTACGTCCTCCATGCCCACCATTCCTCCGCCGTCGCGAACAAACAGTCTACGCATGGGTGGTGAAAGCAAGCCGAGATTGAGGGTGCAGATTCCGAGCGAACAGTCAGACGCTGGGAGTGCGACGGCCGATTCGTCTCCCAAAGACTCTGGAACCACAGGTGCAACCCCTGGACGAAGCACCGACGCATCACACTCTTCTGGTGTAGTTCTGCCTCCTCCATCACCAAGTGCCAATTCGCTGCTAAGTGCCGGTGCAACTGGCCCGCCCAACCCCTTCGCTCGTCCTCCGCCGCCATCAAACAGCAACTCGTACGGTAGCCGCGACAACATGGAAACTCCCATCTCAGCACTCCCCAGTCGCTTTGTTGAGAATGGCCTGCTTCCCTCGCCTTCCAGCTTTTACCCCGAGTGGGGTTTTGGCCGCGACTCCAACATGCTGCCGAGCCCTTTGACTTTCCAGACTCCGGTAGCCCCGAACGGACCCAGCTTCGCCCGCGACGATTCTGCCGAGCGCAAGCGCAAGACGTCTGATCAGGGCTCAGATGACGGCAACCAGAAGCGAGTCAAGACCTGAGCAGCGTAGCGGAGCTCGAAAAGTTCTTTTGCAGCGATCTTCTTTCTCGTGTGGCCTCGGCCATGCTGTATTTGTACCCCTTATTTTTATCCTTCTGTTACGGTCTTTACTTCCTGGAGGCCAGCCAGCGATGCTCGATGCATACTATATACCGTTGTTTTTGTTTGAAGGATTTGTAGAACTTGGGTGCAGGGGCGTTGGATACCCAGGATGATTGTCGTTGTTATCATCTAGTATTTTGTCTCGTTTCACAATTTGACGGTTGCACTTGGACACCCTCGGGCGCCCGGTTATGGCATGACGAAAGATCAGAGTTGCGATTTGTACTTCTTTGTAAAAAATATAATCAATGAACAACTTGGACGAGTCCACTTAGACATACAAGGATACCCCATTACGCAAGCTCTCCGTGACTCGGCACTGGAGGGAACGAATGACCTGCGAACCCCACAGCAACTGGCCGAATCTTCGGAAATCGGAACATTGGGTAAGAATACCACGATCAGATTTTGCGCTATGCCACAGACTGATTTGTCGTATCCGCATCGCGGTAGACATTCCCTTGTTGTTGACCGGCACGAGGGCTAGTGCGTCATAGGGCCAAGCCTCCTGCCCCGCTGCGCATATGCCTACCCAAGGGGTCGCCGTTGGTGTCAGCCGCAACCGGGCTGTGAAGGGCGACGTTGGGCTTTGATCGCTGGAGCCGCATCTTACTCGGCTGATCGCAAAGCCTTTGTACGAAACCTACTAGCATCTTCCTGTGTTTGGGAGTCACTTGTCTGCGTGACGATTGCTGCCCGCGCCGAGAAGCTGAAGCTTGGTGTCACCCTCATATATCATCAGCCCTCGACCTTGCGACATCTTGCTTTCCACCTTGCAAACACACGACGACTCGCTCCCACCATGGCGTACAACAAAGGCTTCAACCCGGACAGGCTGCCCATGCATGCCGAGCCTGAGCAGGTACGTCTTTGCAGTCCCTCGACGCGCCTGCAGGACTGACGTAGACCAGGCTGCTGCGATGATGTCGCAAAACGCATCTGCGGCCTCACGCCCACCGCGCACCAGTTCAGCGCGTCCCGACTACAACAAACCTCCCCCGCCCGTTCCCAGCGGCCAGAGATACGACACCCGTCCCGATGAGCGCTACGGTGGTGGACGCGGCGCAGGAGGGGGTGGATATGACAGCAGACCCCCACCAGGCGCATACAGCGACCCGCGGTACGACGGCCGATACGACGCGAGGCCAGACAACAGAATGGGAGTTGGATCGCCTCCACCAGTCAACTATGGCCATGGACCTCCACCACAGGGATACCATGGAAGACCGCAGTTGGCGCAGCAGTCGAGGCCGCCGCCTACTCCTGCGCCGCCGCCAAGAGATGCGAATGACCGCGAAGCGCTCTGGAGACTGTTCGGTGCGGTCGACAAAGACAGTATGTTGTATCAAGACTTCGCATATACACAATGCTAACGCATGCGACAGAGAGTGGTGAGCTCACAGAAGCCGAGCTGCGAACAGCACTCGTCAATGGAGACTGGACACCTTTCGATCCCCACACCGTCCGTATGATGATCCGAATGTTCGACACCAACAGATCTGGCTCCGTCAACTTTGACGAATTCTGGTACTTGGTCTCGTCTCCTTCGTGACAGGTCCAAGCTAACACATCGTTTGTAGTGGGCTCTGGGGCTTCCTCTCAGCTTGGCGCAGCCTGTTCGACCGTTTCGACCAAGACCATTCCGGCAGCATATCCTACGCTGAATTCAATGAAGCCCTCATCGCCTTCGGATACCGCCTCTCCCAAGCATTCGTCACTCTTCTGTACCGCACGTACGACCGCGACGGACGCAACGCACTGAGCTTCGACTTGTTCGTGCAAGCGTGCATTAGTCTGAAGAGGATGACGGATGTCTTCAAGAAGTATGACGAGGATCGCGACGGCTACATCACGCTGAGCTTGTAAGTTGCATACGAAAGAGTGGGAGAATACTTTTTGAACGGTGGCTAACTATATCCGTAGCGAGGAGTTTCTCACAGGTGCGCAAGCTTTATTCCTCTTCAACTCGATTTCGGCCTCCACTGATACTGGACTGTACTAGAAATCATCCGCCAGCGATGAGCAGCAGGAATACATGTACACCATTTACGCAACATTTGGATGCGTTGCCACTCTGGATACTGTCCGGCACTTGGTCACCTACGCGAAAGCGAGCAGGACGTCGTCATGGGCCATCCCCAAGTGCCGTGTTACGTCGGAGTATGACGGAACATCTGGACTGGTATCCAAACGAGCGAGGAACATGCGTAGTTATGGTCGGAGACCAGGCATACTTGATGAAGGTAATGAATATAGATACCCGTTTGATACAAACGAAAACATTGATACTACATTTGTCTCTCAAGCTACGTGCTCGTCATCTTCAAACAGGTCTAGAGACAACATTACCATGAAAACATGCAAAGTAGGTGACCTAACGTCAATGTAGGCTCTAGGGTGCTCCGGCTTTTCCTAGATTAGCTTGGACAAACTACCAACACCTGAACCTCTCCCTCCATCCCCATCTCTCCCTTCCGTCACCGCCGCGGCGACGGTAGTAATAATCATCGTCGTCATTGCCTCCAGCATCGTACCTCATCACTCTCAATCCTGATCCAGCGTGCGTATATGAGTGTTCGCGCACGCGACGCCCTCCCTCACGGCCTTCATGGAAGCCGTTGTAGTCGAATGCGGGGCCGTAGTGAAGTTGTCTGGGAGTGTACAGTCAGTGAAATGCTAGTAAGAGGACATATATGTACAAAGTAGCGAAACGTGGTCAGAGGATAGATACTTACGGAGCCTGGTCATATCCAAAGCCTCGAGGTCGAGATTGGTACCGTGGCATGATGATATCCTGAGGGGGGATATGTTACTCGCAGACGTTAAAGAAGGATCGTTGGGTGGGCTGGACGTTGATTGAATAAGGCAGGTTGTTAATTAGTAGGTGGATTTGCGAAGACGGCGATGATAAAGTATAAGAGGCTTATGCTGGATTTTCTCGTTATATAGTACAAAAGAGAAGGACATGAATGTCGGAATGACGATGCAAACTTGAGTTGGCATACATCGGTGTCGAGTACACGTTGTAGTACTTCGTGTTGCGTATCGCGCACGCGTACATGGTAAACAGTAATGACGATTCTGTACAGATGATGGTGGACAACAGTATACGAAGGCACACTTCACTGAAATGATCCATTGCGTGGCTGATCGATGATGCGTGCTGGTATTTTGGCCTGGGGTATGAGAGAAGTGCGTGCATGGCAACCTGGGGGGAAACAGAGCCCTCTAGAGCCTACATCGACGCGAGGCTACCTACCTTACATGTTTGTATGTCAATGTAGTCCACAGACCTATGCAGGTTGTTTCTTGTATAAGGTGCATGTATGCAAGCGAACAACGGTCCTGTTTGAGTATATCCATTCATAATAAACCAAGGTATACAATCTTCATCGCTGAATCTGTCCTACAACACATTCTGGTATCTGGGGGTATATGACAAAACGTTAAGGAAAGACGTGAACTCGTTCTTGAGGTCGTGTAAAAAGACAAAGGCCGCTGTACTCCAAAAATTGCTCCGCATCGACATGACCAATCTGTTAGTCTGGGGACTGTATGATCCGCTCTCTTCTCATCATTTAAACCTTGTAGGGCTTGCGAGCACGGCGAGAACCATGGTCCTTGCCGCCGATGCAGAAGCTGGCGATCCAGCCAAGCAGCGCAATGAGCATAAGTGCAGTTGCAGCCCATGTCAAAGCAAGGAACTTGCCGCCCCAGTTCGCGTTCAAGCCAATGTCGTTACCGTGCTTGTTTATTATATCGACACCCTAATTAAAAAATCAGTATATGTCTCACTTGAACATTGTACAGTCAAAACTTACCTTGACCATTACAGCAGTGACAAGGGCGCTTGCGAGGCCGATAGCCAGGAAGGCGAGTGTCGCAAGAAGGAAGTTGATGCAGGGAGTAAGTCGTCCGTTTCCGATGAAGATTCCAAGAACGCTGGTGACAAGCGTGATGAAGATGAGGCAGATGGCAATGACATATAGCACAAACATAGCTGCCATGAGCGCGTTGAGGGCATCAATTCCGTTCTGGATGTCATCTGGCCAGTTTAAGTCCTCTAGGGTGATGTCTACGCCCGTCTTGTTGATCGCCTCTTGGATGATGGCCGTGGGGTCGAACTTGTAGGTAGCCCTGCTCTTTGCGCACTCGGTGACGTTCTTGCTAATGTCATCCTGACTCAGCGTGGCGTTGGCCACCTCTCCAGGCTCATACTGTCCTTGGCAGTAGTTGAGCATGTGTGCCGAGTACCAGTCCTCAATGCCAACGCGCTCGCGGAACTCATCGATCTGCTCGTTGATTTCGTTGGTGACGCTGTCGGTAATGGAGTCGGGAATGAGGTTTATGATGGATGAAAGTGTGGAGTCAGAGTCTTCCGATGGAGCTTGGATGAGCGTTTGTCCAACTGCGGACGTGTTGAGCGTTAGGAGGGAGTAGTCTTCCATGAAGCCTTTCTTATGCCCGGCGAATAGGCAGAGAAACGAGAGGATGAGGGCCGCGGTACAGCATAGCACCGGTAGTACTGCGATGAAGCGCATCGTGATGGTGTTGGCTTTACGGTTGTAGTGGAGGTGTGGTGTGGTGTAAAGGCGCAAGTAGTCGCGATCCCTCTATGTGCGACTCGTGAATGACGATGTATTCAAACAGCGCTGCAAGGCTGAAACGCAGATTAAAGACAAAAGCGATAGATGTTAAATATGCGTCAAAGGCGATAAAGGAAGAGTCAACCACTTATACGTGACGCGCGAATACAAGCTTAGGACGCGACGACCGTGCAAAAGACCCGCACGTCACTGCTAGGGCCCGGCCATGGCAACAAGCGAATAGCAAACCCAACCAACGGGGCCTCAGCCTCAAGATCAACGGCATTGAATACGAATCAGGGCCTTCTCAACACACTGACCACGATGTTGACGTGTTGCTGGGCGTGTGGTGTACAGACCCTGGAATTATGACGTAGCGCAGCGCTAAGCGAAGCAAATGCGCAGGGGTAAAGCAGGAACGTCGGGAACTTGACGTGCCTAGATTTTTGGTTGGCTGATGATGGCAGAGTTGAAAAAAGAAAGAGTGCCGAAACTCTCGTCAATCTCTGCATCGGTGTAGGCAGGAGCGCGGCGCTTGCAGATGTGCCAGCCACACGGGACCACTGTGGGGCGCACAGCCGCAACGTGCGTGTGCAGGTACGAATCGATGCAGACTACGGTGACACAAATAGAAGCTGGATTCAACAAGATCGCCTATAAGTGCGCCCCATACAAGAGAAAACTGGGACAGGTCTAGAGCCTACATTAACGTTGGGTCACCTACTTTGCATGCTTCCGTCTTGATGTCGGCTCCTTCATGAGTGAAGTGAGTGATGGAACGCACCATGTAGGTCAAGGACTGGCTTGTCTAGTCTGTTTGTATTCGGGTCTATCGCTATGGTCTCGTCGTCTATTCGTGAGGCATCGTCTATCATGATGACCATAAGTGCATTACTTTCGTAGAGCAGCCTGTGCTCTCGGACTTTTGGAGTGGAATAGCTATAAGCGGTTGTGGTAGTGATGAAGTGTTGCGCATTGCGCATTGGTGTTGGGTCGCAGCCGGTTGGCACGGTGCTATCCGGCCTCACGACGGCGTCTTCTTGGAGTTCTTGGTGGGTTGGGGTGTTGACGACGAGCCAGCGCTGACGCCGTCAGTGAAAGGAGAGTATGGCGCTGTCACTGAGTGCGGGGGTGCTCGTTGGCCAGACTTTGTGCGCGGAGGCTCAGCGGAGCCCGGCCACTTCTTCTGCTCCTCGTGCATCTTGTCTAGTGGCTCTCCGACTATGTGATACTTGTCCCAGTTGACGGGTGGACATCGCACGATGTTCTGCGGCTGCGGTATTGCGGGGAACTTGGGTGGGTCGGGTTTCGCCTCCATGTGCGTGGAATCTTTGCGCGTGTCTGCGCTGTTCGCGTCTTGTTCGCTACTGCTTGCTGCGTCGGACAGACCGGCCAGTGTTGGCGTGAGGATGTCCTGGTGCGACTGGGAGGCCTGCGCGCGTTGTTCTTGCAGCGAGCGCACGAACGCCTGCGGGTCGGACACAGCGGCTGCCTTGAGGTCCTGGAGGGCCCTCAGGTCGCGCTTGCTCTTTTCACGCTGCAGCTGCAGGAGCGAGATGGCGGAGCGCAGGGCGATAGCATCTGGGTTCTCGCTCTCCGATATGGCGACGGACGGCGGTTGCGGTCTGAAGGTGGCCGTGGGCGGAGGGGCAGGGCGGGGTCGGGCTTCGGTGCGCTCCACAGGAGCTAACTGGGCAGCGGAGGCCGTGGGCGTGAGAGGTGACACAGGCGGGCGGTCAGGCGTGGGCGACTTGGAGCGGGCGCCAGAGTGCTCCGAGGCGGTCGAGGCATCGCTGGAGGACACCGGGCGCGCGTTCGTATCGACCAGGAGCGCAGGCATGGCGGCGTGGAGGGAGACGTCGCCAGGCGCAAAGCCGGAGAGTCGTGGCAGGAGGGCGATCGGCGACCACGCTGCGGTGAAAGCAAGGTCAGGCCACGCAGAGGCCTGGGAGCGCTGCTGGTAAATCTCCGGCGGTGGTTCGCCGCGAGGTGGCGGCGTCTTAGGCGCTGTCTAGACTTGTGCCGGGGCCGTCCATGCCAGGTGCGATTTGCGAGGGGGATGTCGGTCGTGCAAGATTGTGCGCGGGAACGCCCACGCTGGCTGCTGCTGTCGACACGTCGCGAGATGAGTGCGAGGGTTGTGCGGAGCCGGCCTGCGGGCGATAATTTCTTTGGCTGCGATTCGGCTGTACGGGAGTCGATCTCGTCTATCTTGTAACAAAGCCGGCCATCCAACATCAACTGCCACACGTCACACAGTCCGCCGACAACACTCGATGACCCTGGCGGAAAAGATATTGAGCCTGGTCTCTCGTATTCGAGTAAGAGCGTCACATGATGGTCTGTGGTATTGGAAGGGTATACACGTCTCATCATACTACTATTCAGCTGTGACCAGAAAGGAGTGTCCGAACATGGTAATCCGCGCTCCGAGTACTCCGTCTACACCATCACGATGCCAGTTGCACACTGACCTCGGTTGCACTTGCTTGTGGCCGTGCGTGGCATTCTCAGACAGCGATTGCGTGACGCGCCGCTATTCCCGACGTCTGAATCTCGTCATGTCTATCCGACCTCCATGCGGTCTGGTCGAACAGAATGGCAAGTTCCTTGAGGGATATAGGAGAGACAAAGTAAGGGCTAAAGACGGCACCGGCACGAGGCAGTGTCAGTGCGCTCCTCTGAAGCAACTGCCATCTCACAACCGACATAACGGCGTTCAAGATCTGCCCTCTGATTGCCAATTTGCATGTCGCAAAACGCGTCCGTCTAGTCCGGCGACATCCTCGCAGATGAGAGTCTTACGCAGCCGAACGCCTGCAAGGGTCAGCGCCAGAGCGAGAAGCCACCCAAGTAATCCACCAAAACGCCATGCCCAGCCCGCCAATAGCAATACTCTGATAGGCGGTGCCGCGTGGATAGCCATCAGAATCACGTCTCTTGAAGCGTAGCGTACCCGTCCCAGCCTGCGTCCTCCACGGTGAGTCGCTCTTGCTTTTTGCTAGCCTTGGAGCCCTCAATTGCGCCTTCTACTTGCAGACTCTCCAGCTCGGTACAGACACGCCCATTTCCCTCATCTGCCGTCCCGTCCTCGACCCTCACCTCTCCACCTCCATATCATCCTTCCAAATGCCACTCAAATTCCTCACTTCTCGACCCTCGACTACTGTCCGCTACCTGCACCTGCATGACATGCGCTACGCCTTAGCGACGGCCTGCCAATCAAACGACGATCAAACTGGCACTGACTGGCCGCTAAACCCTAAGGGCCCACCCGACCGAAATCACTTTCGTTAGCCATGGCTCCGAATGCAGACTTAACAGCACAGTCCCCGCTGGCGCGCATGCCCAAGCTGAAGTACAGAAATCCGCTTCCGTCCGACAGCCTTTCCATCGCCGACTCTGCTTCCCAGGACTCTGGGCCCGACTCTGCTTATAGTCAAGAGCCGCCCGCGACCCCGGATCCAAACGCTCCTTCGAACATCTCCCGTCCGTCCTTCGACACTACCTCCCTGACGTCATCCAGTCTGGCTTCCATATCCTCCAGCAACTCTTCGTCAAATGGCTCAAAGTCATCGAAGAAGAAGAAAAAGGGCTCCGTGCTCGGGTTTCTTTCTCTGAAGGAACCATCCCAAGTCGCTTTGGAGCAGTTCAAGGAACAGCAGCGCAAGCAGAATCTCAACTCCGGAACCTCAACGCCGCAGTCAAGAGCCAGCAGCAACTATGTCGGCCAAAAACTTCCAAATTCTGTCCCCAAGGTCAATTCAAAATGGGACGGTGTTCCTGAATCCGTCAAACACCGGTACTCAACAACAAGCGCATACAGCAAGGACAACAGAATCAGCGTATCGTCCAAGGGCTCCTTTGGCTCGCCTCTCAAAAACGCCCCCTGGAACGAGTCGAGATTCTCTGTCATGACAGACGGCACCCGTAACCCACCCAACTCAGTCGCATCTGCCTCCATATCAAACCTTACTATCCGAGATGGAGCTTCTGGCCTCGGATCCTCGCCATCAACTACCACGCTCCCGGAGATGTCCTACTATTTCCCAGACGACCCCGCTGCGTCTGGCGCGTTACCCCCCAGGTCCGAGAGCGCTGGCGCGTCCTACGATTCTACCATGCAGTCACCAGTCCGGCTCTCGAACTCCACTTCGAGCGATCGTCCAAGCATAGACGGATCAGTAGACTCACGACCACATTCCCCAGCCTCTTCGACGACATCCGCAGATACGATCGTCATGGACACTGCAGATACTATCTTCCGAAAATTGAACGACCGGCCCAACCAAGGAGCATGGGGAACGGATGCTCATGCTGTTCAGGCGCCTGCTGAGAACAATTTTGGCGATGTGCCCGACTCACATGACTTCCTCTTTCAACCCCAGCCTGTTGTAGAGCGCCGACAAAGCGAACCGCTCGCCATCTACGAGTCGCCCTTGGATGCATCGTCTATCCCACACTACGCCCCTCAGCGACCGGTCCAGAACTTCAGTCGGCCAATGGCAACGAAGGGCCCACCGCCAGTTCAGCGGTCTACACACATGCCGCACTACAGGAGGACACCATCAGCTCCAGCGCTACCAACTTTGTACGAAGCGTCGCTAGCCAGCACTGATGATCTTCGAGAGGATCGTGATGATGACGACGACGATTCGTATTCCATTGCTCCATCTACCATTGCGCCATCTGAGCTCTCCAAACATTGGTATGAGTCTCCACGTGAACGTCTAGGTCTTGGTAGGCGACTTCAGATCAATGATGTTTCACCATGGGAGGAGCAGCGAGGGGCAGCAGGTAAGCCCAAGAAAAGTCGCTTGTCAATGTTTGGGAAGGCGGTGTCGAGAGGATAGGCTTTGCGGGCAAAGCTCGCGCATTGACTGACTCCCAGTGGGTAGCTTCGTGCGAACCTGAGCGATCATCGACCGGTGCTACAAAAACATTCGGCTCCTGATACGCCAACTTGTGTACAAACTTTTGCGATTAGCGATATCCAGCATACCCCCGCTTCGGCGACATTCTTGTACGGCGGCATTTTTGAACGCCAGTTTCTCCAACATAGATACCCATTTCACGAATCTTACCAATCTGCTCTCTAATGGCTACATCATCACGCATCATTCTCTCAGGTAATGTAATAATTAATTCACTCTTACATACGGCTGCGCCTCGTTACGAATCCGATCTCATGGAGCTGTGGGGAAACATGGCGCGAATCGCGCGTCGATTTACGAAGGTTTGACGCAAGGCACTACACAATCACACCATAGGGCTTACTATAGTGGCACGTTTTGCGTCCATCGCACGTATCTCATGCAAGCCCCAATCTCACTAGTTCACCTTTTCGAACCCTATATTGCTTCTGCCGTGGTTCTTCAGCCCTGGTCTAGCGTGACTGTTTGCCGATCGACAAGCCCGTCGAAACCTTAACGCCATAATCCACTCCCTTGCAGTATCGGAACGAGCACGCCCTCTTACCATTCCATTTGACAGGCTTAATGTGATTCGCCTAGCGGACACTCATTCCAATCCAGCTCACACGTCATCTAGTCGATCAACAAGATCTGCTCGCCGAGCAAGTCAATCCAAAACCAGATCACACGAGCCATCGAAACACCATACCAATAGTTTGACGCTGGCTGTCGCAAAGTGCGCTTGCATCAGATGTCAACTCTTTTGGCGGACACGCTCGAGTAATGAGTATCTAGCACCGGCGGCTCCGCTCAAAGGCCCTTTTTTTGGTTGACCTATGAATGTCGTGATGATTGCCGACACACTCCCGCTAGAGTTAGCTTTCTCCAGATCATCACATGGCGCAGCATGGTACTCCTTGTGTCACTAGCTTGATCGACAGGGCAGACGCGTCCACACCCCGTATTCCTAGGATACCCACGATCAAATGTTATGCGTGTTTTCGGAAGGGTAAGCGACTGCCCATGCTTAGATCAGGTTGAGCTTTGAAGGAGGATAGCAATACGTTGCTGTAAACTTTGAACCGATGTTCATGGCCGAAGTGAGCGCGAACTGCAGCATTTGGAAGCGGAGAGCTGCGGCGCTGAACATGGCACATGGAAGAGCCCAGTCCTGGACATGAATTGCGTTGGTAGCTTTTTGAGTTTTGAAGAGAAAGCAGTGTGGGGGAAGATTACCGATGGCACTGCGACTCGTTGTTTATGGACGCGGTGGACAATGTCACATCAACCTGGAAAAAGACTGAACAGGTCTGCAGCCTACAATAGTATGGAAACATGCATAATAGGTAACCAACCTAACACTGATGTAGGCTCTAGACCTGTTTAGCTTTTTTTTCTTGTATATGGTAGTGCACTAATTTCGACTGCCAGAGCAGAACGCAACATGGAAATGGTCCAGATCAATTTTGATACAACGCCACTCAACATGCTCCACATGAATGGTTCTGTCCGTTTTTTGCGTCTCCTCCACTTGCTCTTACAGCCGCCGAACATCAACTTGCACTACGTCGATTTTTTCTTGGTAAATTAGACTACAGGAGAATATAGAGCAGAGCTGATGGTGGGCTCTTAGGGACATGCGGGTAGGGTGTTTTGCTTTTGAAGCGCGTTGCTGACCCACAGGCAACATAGATATATCGTACATCGTTTTTGGTAATATCTCGTTCGTGTGCTCGCTGAAGGAAGGAAGAGCTAAAGAAGGTACATTTATACACATGGGAGATAGCATGCGCGAGGACATGCCGGTGATGCTGGCGATATGGATGTTACCGTCAACAATCCGAACATATCATATTGATGCGCAGTTTTGAAGGTGGCAGATTCCCATCGATACGTGCACTATGAGTTTCGTTCTGGATGACGCGGTCGTTTGTATGCATGTACCCAGAGACGTCAAGCAGTACATAGAACTCCTGCAGACACTTTTTGAAGAACGAAGAACGAGAAAGAAGCCATAGCGTCTTGCTCTGGATTTTTGGAATTGTAAGAAATGGTAGTGCTGATAAAGATCAAGAGAAAGTAATATCATGCGGTCTTTTATATGCTTTGTCTACAGCACGTATACGTACGCGCTAGGCGGCTATAGGCCTGATACTAATTGTTTCGGCTCGGCGGTTAGTGTTATAACGAGTTTGTCTTTCCCGCACTACCATGTCATTTGGCAAACCTTCACTCGAGTGGTATTCAAAATGACCCGATATCAACTTGATGATTCAGAACACGGCTTTTTTACCAAGTAATTTCTTCTTATACAGTCATGTTGCAAGCCTTTGGAATGTGTCGAGAAGGTTTGTCCAAGTCAGTGCTATTCCATCATTTAAAATCAGGAAGCAATGAACTATGGTGAGTGGGAGACCCCATATCGGCAATTGGTTATTCTCGCAGACTTTTCAGTAATAAATACCAAATAGTAGTGACCGCTCTGGTCGCTTGACCAATCGTTTTTCACCTCATACACTGAAGGCTTTCTCGTGCAGAGTTAGAATCTTCGCCCGCTCCTCTGTCTGGCCGTCCTGAGCCCAATCCCCCATCTCCATCAGCCTGTCTCTCTGAGCCTCAAGCTCCCTGTTCATGACATCACTGTCTGAGTTTCCAATACTCCTCTTGAGCTCTTCTGTCATCTCTTCCGCTTTGGCCTTCACACTCTTTGTGAATGCACTAGCCGGCCCATGGCTCAAGTGCGCTACATTCAACACCTGCTTTACCAGCATCATGGCAATGAGACCCATGTTCACCTCCGGTGCACCTACACCCTCTGGAGTACTTGCTAGGTATGCGGCCAACATCGCCATCTGCCATGTCTGTACTACCCGGACCGGGTGGAACGAGACTGGGTAGAGCTTGGGAAGAATGTACTTATACCGCTTTGCACATTGCGCCCATGCGTCCTGGTAACGTCCCTCGGAAAGCAGGTTCACAATCAGGTCGTCGCGGAGTGTAGCATATGGTTGTCGATAAATCGGCAGAAACATTGCCTCATGGCAAATCTTGAGTGCTTGCCTGATCGCTGCTCTAACAAGCAGGGGGCTTTCTGTTGCTTGGAGTTCGGCATAGAGACCAAACAGCTTCTCCTGAGTTTCTGCCATGGACGCAACTTCGGCTCCCAAGACCCATCCAGGCCTTGATGGTACCAGCCAGTTGTCTTCCTGGAGAGTCGCCTTTTCCTGACATTGGGCGCAGCGGCAGGTAAAGAACCAGCGGGATTGGAGCTCTTCTTGTCGCCTGTGGTAGGGATTCGTAGCATCAATGTACGAAATGTAGATTTCTTTGTCTTTCTTGATTGGTCGGAGTGTACGAATGCTTACTCGCGGACCGTCCATCATGATGTATGCGTTCGGGTTACAGGAGTGATTCATATGGCAGAGTGTAGGGTCGATCATGATACCTAGAGGATCTAACGTAGGTGTGATCAGTGTCAGAGCATTTGACATTACCTTTATACATGTCAGTGAGAGAGTTAGAAGGGTCTATCACAGACTTACTCGACCATACATCGCTGCAACAAAGTCCTTGTCGAAAAGGTTTTGCAACGACGAGAATTGACCGACACCCATAGCCATGAGTTCGATATTCTCGTAGGTTCCGTTCCGCTTGAAATCGTCAATGTGCGAAGGTAAGCGACAAAGCAACTCCCATTCTTCATCGGAAATCAGACCATGCTTTCGCCTAATGAATAGTTCCATACATGCAAGTAAGGCTTTGGGGAGGGGTCTACCAGCCGTTGGCTTCAGCATCTTGCACTCATGCTTATGTCCCCGGTTCCATGCGTCCTTTTGGCATGCCTGATGCATATTAGTTTACGAACATACCCGCAGATAACTCGACGTACCTTGCTGCAGTAGCGGAATATCTGGCATGCAGCACACTTGTTCACTTTTGCGCCTTCGGGTACATACAACCTTGTTCCAGTCGATGAACCTTCAGTCCAGAGGTAGCAATTCGCACAGGTATCGAGCAGCCGTTCCGTCTCCAATGAAGCAACGAGAGGCCTCGTGAAGCTTGCGATCTCTTCGCCTGAACCAAATCTTCGGTTCGCAAAAAGACCATTACCAATGCTCTCGCCTTTGCTGTTGGTACAGATAGCCGACTTCGAGATGTAGTAAGGTGCCGGTGCTGCCACGGAAGACTCAGACTGGCCTGACATGACGCAAGGTAGTAGGTAGGTATTTAGTTGATCTTGTTAGAATGATGGGGTTCAAGTCAAAGGGTTCAGACGCGTAGCGTGCGTCGTCATGCGTCTCAAAACGGCGGTTACATCGCGTGAAAACGTGAGTTTCGCGACTGACTAGCTCGATTAGGCTAAGGCCAACAAGTTGCCCATGCTCCTACCCCTCACCTTCTCAACATACTTCCACCACAAGAACATTGCGTCTACACACATTCCTTAGGCTTCAACGTCTTATTTTACCTGCATATAAGATTAGGGTCGAGAATTGCGACATGCACGCGTTCTGAATTCAATGACCGTGCGCCTAAACACTGGTGGTAACTGGCATGATCAAAGAAAGCTAGCATTCACCCCATTCAAGAGGAAACCTTAACAGGTGCCCTAAAGTCTACATTGCGATAAAAACCTAAGGTTTTAGATTGTTTAAGACATCCTAGCCTTCTAAGCTTCCTTTGAGATAATTGCACTTCGCCGAGCTAGGTGTATGCCTTTTCCCTCCAATGGGGTGCACTTATCGTTTTGTTAAGAATGAACATCTAGGATCTCGATCTCTTATGGAGTGTAAGAACTCATCGTTAATGCTTCTGACGAACGTCGCGATATGCCTCCCGCTTCCTGATTGTCACGGCGATGGCTGCTGACCTTCGCATTTCCTATGGATCGGAAAGATGCTTCGTGATCAGAGAGACGCGTCGCTGATTAGCCAGACGCATCCAAGTTGTAGGCATGATGTGGAACAAAGAGACTACAGATAGCATTCTTGACGATCTCACAAGCAATTTGATGTATACAGCTGTCGAGTGTCCAATTGCAGCATTGGTGACGAACCAGGGGTACGTCACAGCCAGGGTTTCGCGCGGCGGCACAGTTCCGTCCCGCGGTCGCGTCGCAGACTCAACAATCATAACCCTCGTAACTGTCTTCAAATCGACCGCTTTCATTCAATTCATTGACACACGCTCTCAGCAGTAAATATACTATTACCCGTGTACATCTTTAGCTGGTACGCTGACATAGTTAAGTTGATCTTACCCGCACGGCCAAAGCCCCACCATACCTAGGTAGCCGACGCTTCTGCATTAGCCCCCGTATCGTACCCGCTGTATTGCGCGACCGAAGATGCCACCATACCGGACACCGAAGAAGGCGTGGGGCAATTCGTCAAACCCAAACAAAAACAGCTTCGTTCCTACCAACAAGACCCTTGAAAACGAAGTCGATGAGGAGTACCGCACTCGAGCGACGAACGACCCATATACACACTACATCCTTAAGACTGGAAAGCACAGGGGCAAGACCTTGAAGCAGGTCCATGAAGAAGGCCGCAATGAGGGCTACCTTGATTGGATGCTCAGAACACCAAAGGCATGCAAGGACCTGGACGGAGAGCATATTGTGAAGAAGGGGCTGTTATACTGGAAAGAGCACGCCTCCAGCGCCGAGCTGGTGAAAACGCCGACAAAACCCTCTACAAGGAGGGACAGTGCAGCTTCTGAGACGGAAACCTCCCGATTCAAAGATACTCAAGGAAAGCAGATGACGATCACGGGCGGGGATGTTGCAGGTCTTTTTCACATGAGGGAGAATCAGCTCAAGACAGCTGGGGTGAAAAGAAAGTCTAACTACGTCATGTACAGCAAGCGATACTGGAGCAATGTGTACTCCTTGAAAGATGTGTATGATGCAGCCGTTCGTACACCAAACTGCCCTAGAGACGAAACTCCTGATCAGGCTCTGGAGCGGTACTTCGAGAAGGTGAAGAGGTGCGGTCACGGAACTATGCTCTTCATGCCAGAGTGTTGTGAGTGCTTTGAATGCGAGAACCTTCGCGCTGGACCGACACAAGGAGGCCTACGTTTTGTTTCTGGGTTGCAGATAGAGCGGCTCAAGCAGATGCAAAAGGAGCAGGAGAGAGAGGATAGTAGATGGATCGGCATTGAGCCTTGGATGGGCGATTATGATTAGTGAAGATGCGAATAGAAAGATTGTGGGCAGCTGACGTGCGAGATGCGTAATGGGTTCGTTGTTTGAACCTACGTACAACTTTCAGTGACCGAAGAGGTGGCTCACAGGGTGTCATGAGGCCGATATGCAATTTTCAGTGATTGGACAGATGGACCAGAATGTAGTGTTGCAAGACTGAACGACTTGTAGAGTGCTCGTCAAACAATGGCCGCAATCTGCATTCGTTGCTCGACGCCTGGAGTGCATCGCGACCTAGATCTCCGTATCCATGAATGGAAGCTAGTAACGCGTATATGTGATCGAATTACAAATTTAGCTTCGCCTTCATACGCTCTCCTTTCTCCCACTCATCATATCAGGTGTGTGCCTTCCTCTAAAACCACTTAGAAGATGGCTATGTCTGGGCCTCGCCTTCTTCTTACACATCATATCGGGGGAAGAGGGATATTTTGATTACAATAAGATGGTCCGAACTTCCACTGCATCAGTACACGTACTTGCTCCGCTTCACTTCGTTGAAACGCCATGCACCAGAGTTTCTCACCAGCTTACTCTGATGTAGTCAGTCGCCTAAATGGCTAGGATAGAGGTAGGCTACATTATTCTACTCTTGCGTGGCCCAGGGAAGCGCAATCTTTCTCCAGCTTCTAATTGGGTATGGGCGCACCTTGTCGAGGTGAAGGTGAGTGGTGAACCTGTCCAAAGCCCCACAAGCTCTCACCGTCACCACCACTTTGATTAGACGGCGACTTCTCTCACAACGCCAGCGCAGTAGTAAGGCGCCTGCCTATTTCAGCTCGTCTTCAGGCTTTCTACTCTCTTCTCTTGACACCGCACTTCGAGTTCAATCTTCCTACCTCGCAGACGACCATCGCTCTCCAGCATCATCTCTTCAAGCTATATCACAACATTCCCTTACACTACACCATCATCAACATGCCTCCCAAGGCCGCCGCGGAAAAGGCCGGCAAGGTCTTCACTGCCGATGTCGTCGCCGCTGTCCTCTGCAGCACTGGCACCACCAGCCTGTCCAACAAGAACTATGAGATGATGAGCGCGCTCGACGGTGTCAAGACTGCAAGCGGATTCCAACACGACTTCCGTTCCGTACTCGCCAAGGCCAAGGAGCTCAAAGCGCGCCTTGAGTCTGGCGAGGAGTTCGAGCCGGTTCCGCCTGGTAGCAAGCGCGGTATGTTCTCCACCTACATGCTCGAAGCTTTACGACATCAAGTAGCATCTCACTTCTGACAAAACTAACACTGTACAGGTCAGACTACCCCAGCAACCGCCAAGGCAACTCCTAAGAAGAGAAAGGACATGTCTTCCGGCTCCGAGGACGCTACACCATCTAAGAAGAAGGCGACTCCCAAGTCCCGTGGCAAGAAGGCTCAGACGGTGGAGGACACCATGGAAGAGGACTTCCCCGATGATGCTGAGGAGTTCATCAAGAGAGAGAAGAAGTGGGAGGAGGATGTCTTCACCTGAAGTGATGGAGCGCATGCAGACGGACAGGATATGACACGGAAAAGTTTGTGGTTTGCAGACTACACTATGACAAAACAAACAGATTGAAAGATCTGGTGTCAATGTAGGCTCCAGAGGGTTTGGGTTTTTTCCAGTATGGGGGCCTCCATAAAAAATGCGGTGAAGCCAGATGCACCGCACGCACGTATGTGAAGAGAATTATAAGGATCATCAGCGATCTTCCTTAGTAAATGGAGCATCTCTCTACGTCTTCATTGCTCATGACTTGTGTTGCATGTTCCAGCTTTCACAACGACATTAGCCCTACAAGGGAAAAAAAAATGTACCCCCCGGAGCCTACGTCGAGGTTAGTTCACCGACTTTGCATGTTTTCATCTTCATGTAGGCTGCAGACCTGTTCAGCATGCGTGCTGCTTCCCTGTCTCTAGCACAACCTCATTCAAGTTTTCCCTTGTGTGTAGTGAGATCGATGCCACAGGTTGCTGTCAGCGACGTGTACGCCCTACAGGATACTCCCTACAGCCATATACATATGACATCGTCCAATTAATACCGGTCATTTTGGGTTTCAGCGACTTTCTTGTCGTCCTTGGTCACAGCATTGCCGATGCTGGGCGTGCATGCGATTGTCTGGAAGAATGTAATAATAACATGATCCAGCTTACCATAAGCAATAGGCGCATGCTGCTAAGATGTGCGCAGACGGCATGATGCTGCTCGACATACCGCTCTGACATATCTGATGCGCATATGCATCTACCAGGTGCGATATGATATTTTGAACGATAGTCACCGCTTCATTGTCCAACTTTGCATCTTGCTGCCGGTCATTTTCGTCAAGGCCAGCCCACAGTCAAATCTCCTTTGGGTGGGGCCCAAATCTCGGGCCGTCTGCAGACCCATCGGCTCCGTGCTAAAACCGTAGGCTCATCACCGGTGTCGCACCGACCAAGTCTCGCCCCTAGGCTGGCAAAGTCTTCCAGGGAAGGTCGTAGATCGCAGTCATGTCGGCGCATATCGATAGGGGGAGATCAAGGCGTCGATTGGAGTCGCCCTGGTAGAGGATGACGTCGCCCCCGGCGGTTAAGGTCATGTGCGAGACCGGCGTTCGCATGAGGTGGTGGTGGAGCTGACATGTTAGGCGAGCAAAGTTACAGAAGATGGCAGGTGCCGGGGGTGGCCGAGTAAGCAGGGGAGACCTTGGCGCCAATGCAGGTACAGCTTCGACGCCTGTAGTTTGCGCCGGCAACTTTACTCAACATCCAAATCTCGAACGACAGTCTGCCACCATCTTCTTGTAGTCTGCATCGACACGTCGTGTTCCTGCGCGGTTATGCGGCAGTAGGATGGCAGCAAGGCCCCTGAATTTTCCCCGGATTATTGGGTGGCTGCCTTCTAACCTCCAAACAGCTTAGCATCGTGGCACGGCGGCCGTTGGTGTGCTCCTCATGCGCCGGGATGCATCGTCGGTGAGTGGCTCCTGGGCTAGACGCTCGCTATGATCCTAGGCGAGATGCCTCGAGGGCTGTGCGAACAGAGGGAAAAGGGGGCTCCTGGCCAAGCGTCTCACTGGCGAACGGCCGATTGGGCGCATGAGCATCCTCATCCATTAGCTCCAGAGCGAGCTATACTGCTTTCGTCCGGCAATTTTGCATCTTCTGCCGTTGCTTTGGCGTCTCGATCCGGTCCAGGTAGCCGTTGGGTGTCAGCGTATTCTTTATTATACCGCGTCGCCCACCGTCGTCTTTTCTTCTTCACTCCCACGTCGCACTATCGCTGTACACAGTCACTCGTTCTTTATCCAACTACATATACCCATACAGCTACTACAGTTCTAATACCCTAATCACCAATCCAACTACCGTCACCATGCGCTTCTTCGAGACCATCCTTTCCGCCGCGGCCTTCGCTGCCGCCGTCGCTGCCCTCGAGATCAACGACTTCCCTGCTGAGGGTGTTGTTGCTGGCCAGACCTACACCATCACCTACTCCCCCGCGGACGACACCCCCACCACCTTCATCCTCCGCCAGGGACAGTCCACTGACCTCGACACCGTTGCCACTCTTACCAGTATGTGCCCGATCTGGCAGAGATATAATCTTCCAATTCTAACTGAACTCTAGCTTCCGCTACCGGTGGAAAGTTCAAGTGGACCCCTACCAAGTCTCTCGTCAACGAGCCCGACTACGCTCTCCAGATCCAGCAGGGAACCACCATCAACTACTCCGCCCAGTTCCCCCTCTCTGGTGGTGCTGAGGAGGATGACTCCCCTGTCTCCTCTGCCGTCTCCTCCGCCATGGCCTCTGCTTCGTCCGCTACCGCATCTGCTGCTTCTTCCGCCTCTGCTGCCCTCAGCAGCGCCATTGAGAGCGCCAAGTCCAGCATGATCACCAGCGCTGCCTCTGCTTCCGCCACCATCAGCCCCTCCGCTGGCGTCAACTCCACCGTCACCTCTGCCACTCTTACCCGCTCTTCTTCCGGCTCTGCCACTGGCAGCGCCAGCCTCCCTGAGGTCACTGACTCTGGTGCCAACATCCGCAGCCCCGTCGCTGCCATGCTCGGTGCCGCCGCCGCTTTCGCCTACTTCGCATAAGCGTTTCCCTTCACGACCTTATACTATAATTGTCCTTTTACGACATGTTAGCATTAGAATCTGTGGGAACCCCCTCTAGCATCTATTGTCAATTTGAGTCACGCGAGTATTGGCATCCGTGATTGATGTGTCCGACGGGAACGCTATGCAAAGAGCTTGTATAGACGTAGCAGAAAATGATAATATGGAAGCATTTGCCTACTCATCCATGATCTTACAAGTGATGCGTGCCATGACACCATGCCTCTCGTCTCATGATGTATCAGATGTAGTTTTGCTTGTGCGAGCATAGGTGCTTTCGACCTATGCGCACTTACCGTGAAACATCCGTTCCGCTTCCCTGCTTCTTTTGTTACTGCCGCAATGCTTGGAAGATCTCTATCATCGTAGCACAGACGTCACAATCAATCATCCGCGTGGTACCGCATCCATCATGTCTCAACGGTACCGTGGTACGAAGCTGTCATTATGCGTCGCATGCGCGCTATCCCCGCATGTCTATCACAGCAACCTGGTAGTACACGGTAGGTACTGGGGTCAATCACTTTTTGGCGTGTGCGCAATATGACGTTGCGTTTGGCGCGTGTCAAGAACCTGAAACGCGGAGTTGACGATCGCATCTTGTCGTTCGTCGCGCCAGGAAAACTGTGGTTGACTGACCAGGTGACCCCACAGCGGGATTGTTCCCCACCTCTCCACAGATGCATCGAGCTGCAAGAACCCGCTGCTCATTGCCACACCGTAACTACACCTCAGCGATTCTCTCTTCTCTGTCGCATATATCGCTCAAAGGCTTCGACACTCTGTTGCGTCTTGACAAGCACACAGCCCCAAGGACGCGAACAGCAGCAGCACCCGCATCGCCACCATCAGCTAGTTTCTAACCAGCCGGCGTACACCGAGTTCCACCATCACTAACTACAAGTACTGCGCAAGCCTACCAAGCAAGCCACCCGCCTACCAACCCAAAAGAGAGTAGACGTGTAGCACTGCCTGCTGCCGTGTGTTGCGCGTCAAATGTCTTGTATCACGCGGTCAACAGCGTTTTGATCGAACCAGGACTTGCCACGGCTTGCACACGCTAGCGCCCAGTAGTGGCGGCCAGGCCGAGGCTGATGTGCTATTAGCTTTAGAAGAGACGGATTGATACCTGGCATACCGAAAATTTCAAAGGGACTTCTTGCCAATGCGGCGGCGCTGAAAGATATATTTAGTTTGTAATCGCAAGAGAGGCTAGTCAAACAAGGCTTGAATCGGTGGTAGAGCGGTCGCGAGCTGGGAACTAATGAAGCGCAGCTGAAGCCGAGCCTTGAACAGTATGGTGAGTCTTCGCCTTTGCTTAGGCTCACCGTTCAGAGTACTCTTGATCCTGCAAGCCTTTCGCCATCCCTCAGTCCGCGCCATACGCGAAGACTACAGTCTAACGTTGGGCATCATTAAATGCCTCAATGCTTACGTAGCCGCTTCCCTCGCTTTCGATAACCGACATTGTTGCATTCGCTCGTACTTCGGTATTATGACCAGGTTGTCAACATATCGTTAACTTTCGCTCTTACCTAACACGTTGACTCCAGCTTGACTAGGAAACCAGGACCGTTGTTGCAATGACGATCACGACCATGCTCGGTAGAGCCGAGTTGGCTTGAATGAACTACGCTACAACACAAAAGTTTTGTAATTGATCCAGTCAGCTCTTCCATACTCGTAGCTACAGATGTGTAGCCACATTGCTGGTGCTATGGCATGGTATCCAGGAACTCAACGTTTCTTCTTTCTTTACGCAATACCGTCATCTAACCTGCCATTAATCGTCAAAATTCCATGGATCTCTCCCATCACTCGAGTAGCTCTTTCTCAGTCCAAGTATTGGCCCAAAGCAATCCAGTGTCTGCACCTGAACAACTGATATCGACTTTCCAACACTCTTTCTATCCAAGAAAATTCGCCCGCTGAGCAAATTACTCCTCCTCACAATGTCTCTTCTTCTTTTCCTAACTCTACACAAATAACACTCCCGCAGCCCCAGCCATCGCCCCCGCAAAACCCATCTTCTTGAATCCTCCCACTGGAACCGCAGCACCGGTAGCCTCCACAAGGCCTGAAGCACCGGTAGCGCTCTGTGTACTGCTCCCTCCACTCCGCGTTCCCGTCACACTCTGTGAACTTGCATCAAAGCTCGCAGTCCTCGAACCAACAGCACTTTGGATACCAGTGATCACTGTAACATCTTCGGTCACTGTGTTGGAAGGCACAGGTGATGCTGTATCGACTGCCAGACTCGGTGCTCCAGCTAATGATGTTGGGAGCGAGCTCGCCGGTGTACTGACGCTGTTGTCGACGGTAAAGGCGTCACCCCAGGACGGTGTTGGAGACGCGGATAGGAGCAGGTTCTCTGTTGATGTTTCCGCCGCGGGTTTGACGGCGAAGGGCTCACCCCATGACTGTGTTGCCGCGGACGAGATACCAAGAAGGGAGAGTAGGGTCGTCTTTCGGAGGGAGGATTTGCGCATATTGGCGGTGTTTTCTGGGTAGGTCTTGAAACTCGTTGCTGTCTTTCTTCGATGCTTGGAGCTTGCGTAGGTTGTTTCTTGAGATGCGTAAACTGAGTGACAGGGTTTCAAGCTTCACGGCGATGGCTTCTTTTTACTTGGATGCCAGGGGACCCTGCGCTCATCCCGATACTCCGGATCATCACTATCCACCCAGAAATTGCCGTGTTGAGCGTGTAGTACTCACAAGTCTGACGTAAGTTTCCAGCACAAACAGCGATGCGTATTGCGTTAACGTGGTGAGACAGCCGGCCTCCTGGTTTCTGATAGGCTGTCAGTCCAGACGAAAGATGTCTGATTGGTCGAGAAGGCTTAGTGCTGTCTCGTTCGGGTCTCCGCAATGCTGCCGCACGCGAACCACTGCCGGACCCCGACATACTGCGATGCCGAAACGACGCGCAACATCCTGCAGTGCGATATGCACTCATTTCTATTGTAGGAGAAGTGTATGTTACAAAGAAGCTGGTGGCTTACTGTGGCGTTGAGATCTACCATCGGAAACCAAGACACCGACCAGTCATCAGAATCTTACAACAACAGTTGCAATTGCACTACGGACAGCTTACTAGGAGTCAATCCATTTCTATTCATCAAAACTTCGGCCAGGAAAGAGCTCCACTACCATTTGACAAGATCCTGCACTTGAACAGGCATGCCTGTTTCCATGGAGCGATTCGCACCAACACCGACAAGGACAGCATTACCGCCATCCCGAATGTATGCAGCGCGTTTGAAGCTGTCTTCACCGTCGCTGGTAGCGATTACATCTCGCAGAAGCAGGGGGTCGCCTCCTCCATGGCCGCCTTCGCTCTTGACAACATCAACGACATAAGGCTGTCCCCACAAGGGATACACCACAATATTCGTCTTCTCCACGCCGCCTTGGATGTAGTTGGCTTCGAGCTCACCGAGCCCTTCGTTGGTGACAGTTTCTCCACCCGCTGAGTATCCGCCCTCAACGACGTTTATCTCGATGCGGCCCTTGCTGCCATTGAATACGCAGCGGTACCCCTCCCATGGCGCATAGGCATATGTGTTGTATGTCATGACCGCTTTATTCTTGTATTTGATAATCATTGAGAGATTGTCTTCAATAGTGATACCATCAGCGAAGCAGTTGCGGTCACGGATGTAGCCGTCCTCGTGCTCAGCCTCGAGGTACAACTTTTTCAGTTGCGCGTTCTGGTCAATGTGAATGGCAAACGGGTCGTCTTTCGCAGCCTCGTTGTTGAGATACCGTTCGCCTAGATTCTTCTCTCCACGTCGCTCGGCGTTTTCTCTACCGTAGAAACGTAAGCTACCGACGCAGTAGACCATCTCGGGTTCCGTGTTCAGCCAGTAATGTACCAAGTCGAAGTGGTGAATGGACTTGTGCATCTGGATACCACCACTGGTGTCTTTGTTTCGATGCCATCGTCGCATGAAATCAGATCCATGGGCGCAATCCAGAATCCAGTCCATATGTACCGTTGAGATCTCACCGATGACGCCCGAATCAACAAGCTCGCGTAGCTTTGTATGATGAGGTGCATATCGATAGTTGAAGAGAACACGAACTTGCTTGCCTGTCCTCTTCTCCGCATCGATCATCGCTTGCAGTTTCTCTTCGTCGATAGTCATTGGCTTCTCGGTAATCGCGTCGCAGCCCAGCTCCATAGCGCGGATGCAATATACGTGATGGAACTTGTCGATGGTGGTGACGATGACGACGTCGGCCTTTTGCTCTTTGACCATCTTGTCGAAGTCTTCTGCCTTGTACATCGGGACGCGTTCGCCGCCAATCTCGGCAATACGATCATTTGCAGCCTTCATGCGCGTCTCATTGGTATCGCATATTCCAACGACTGCAGCGCTCGATTTGAAGTCTTGGATGATGCTTTGGTAGTAGAACGCAGATCTAACGCCCATGCCCACAATGACATAACGTTTGATCTGTGGAGAAGTCATGGCTTTGGGGAGGAGGCTTAGATGTTAAGGAGTAGGATATAATGGTGCTTGGATATGAAACTGGCGACAACCAAAGTGGCCTTACACCCACCTTTATACGACATCTTCCTTGAGTCGGCATGATTCAAGGTGAATTGGTACTATGCATCTTTAATAGCAGAGCATCAAATCAGAGGCCTCCGTGACAAAGTAAGATGATGGTGTCCAGTAATCGAGTCTTTCGTTGCAGGTGTTCAGGTGGAGCGGGGGAGTGTGGAGAGTGTAGGTAACTATGTTGGCCGACCCGGAAACAGACTAGTGGCCATTGTCCCCCGCAGTCAACTCCAATGACAAGAGTGGAGAAGCGGCAACATCCCAATTTGGGTCGGCACAGCGATCGAGATGACCAACAACATTCATCCAGGTGTCGTGCATAGTTACGGTGGGTCATCGTTTAGTGGTGCGGGGTAGGTAGTGGTTACTCCTTCTGGGGCTACATCGACACTGCTCCCGCTTGTTACACACTTCGATCGGCTCATGGCTTTGAAATCCTGCTGCAAACATGGAGATTGTATGGCATTCGGGAGGGAAAGCCCCGAAGAAACGGACGGCTGCAGCATGCCCCACTTGTCGGTCACGCAAGAAACGATGTTACCACTTTGAGGACCGCGGATATCGAAGGAAGGAGCGAACTTGCGGAATAGGAAGTCGAGTGCAAGAGCCTCATCTGTACACTGATATAGGCGAGCCCATTTCAAGCCCCGGTCGCGTGAGCGAATACAACCCTGAATCCGTCCTCGCAGCTCTATCAGAAGACGCTGAGCCAGGATCAAGCGCCTTAAATCAGACAGCACATGCGACATCATCCCAACCTACGCCACAAGCTATGGTCTTCACTTCTTTCGCCGCATACGAAGCACAGCGCCGACTGAAGTGGTACGAGCAGCATAAGATCCGGACCACCACGCCGAGCCTATCCGAGTCGTATCGAAGATATCTCGAAGAAGAAGGAGCTTTCGCGTCACTACCCAAAACAACAACAGACGCTCTCCTACCATTGTATATCTCAACGTTGAATGACCTCACCCCCATCACGGATGGCGCCGCCGTCTTCCGCGACCACAGTAACGGACAAGCATCCATCTACTTGGTGAAGGCAATATGCCTTGTAGTCTGCAAAACTAAACACGCTGCTCCTTTCTTACGACTGACTGACTCCGGACCTCTACTCAAACCTCTAGACTTTGCATCAAAGCTTCTAGCTGGACTAGATGCTGCCATCAAAGCAGACTTGGAACCTAATCGCATCGTCAAGATCCAGATCCTAGCACTGATGCACCTGCATAACGACGGATTAGCCGGCGTGGATCGCGCGTCAAGTTACTTGTCGCAGGCCATCTGTGAAGCGTGGTCAATGTGCATACACCTCAAGATACCCGACAACCCTGACAACGACGAATGCAAGTATCTATGGTGGTCACTGCGGAACTTTGACCGCCTTGGTAAACCCATTATGGCAGCAGCACCCTTCTTCATCGATGATGCAGATATTGGTGTTGAACGCATAGAGCCGAAGAAAGACGACTATCGCTCTCAGATCATGGCTGTCGCTCTTGCTCTTGGAGACCTCATGACGACCGCGACTAGAGCCTACAAAGCTGGTTCTACAACGGCGGTCGATAGTTGCTGGGAGTTCCCATCGCTGTCAGAAATTACGGGTGGGAGTAATTTCGATCAGTTCCACATGTCGCATCGAGGTAAGACACTTCACCAATTTCCTCTTCAATCTACTTAAAGCAGCAGTATACCTGGAGACATGGTATAATGTTGCCGCCATGCTATCCTGTCGCTATAGCGGACCCAACACCGAACAATACAACCGGCGTCTGGCGTCCGCGGACAGAGTGCTCGAGATAATCTCTCGAGAAGGGTGCGAAGGCCTTCCTCCGCTACCACTAGTTCCCTACGCCATGTCCATGTCCACGACGGTCATCTACCGAGCCTTACACGATCGTGTAAGAGACATTAGTAAAGCACGAATGGATCTTCGCCAGTGCTGCGACGCCCTGGACGACCTGTGTGAACGATGGACCAGCGTGAGAGGCGTGGCCAAGCTTGCAAAACGGCTTTGCAGACTGATAGGCGACGGTGCACACGACAGCTTGCGAGATGCGTATCGACGTGGTACAACTACATCCAACAGCACAGTCTCAACTCTGGCTATACCAGCCAACAACGATGCTGTTGCGGACCCGACAGGAGTTGTATATAGCGACGAAGCTTTCCAAAGATATCTCACCGACATCTGGCCAAGCTTCGATGCATCCTACTCTCAATTAGATTGGGCATTTCAGGACTATGGCTTGGACATGGAATTCCCCAGTCAGTACGATGACTTGCAATCTTGATAAGTTCAGAATTCGGCAAAAGAATGATCGACAGCACAGTCGGAATGAGGACTCCAAAGCATGGCATAAGAAACTCATCGATTCATTGCTTAATCAGCATGCTCAAAGAGCCTGACCAACCGGTCTGTTGCCTAGAAACTCGCCGTTTTGCGCATGCTCCACGCGAGGCGGACTATACGCAACATACTCTTGTTGCTGAGCCCGTCCTTGTCCCTGTGTATTACTGCCTACATCGCCCAAATTCAATCCATCTCTCTTTCCAGCATCCAATTCGCTGGGTGGTGGCATCTCCCTGCCATCGATTTCCCAGACGTTTGCGTTCGTCGGCATCTCGTTGCTTTCTGGTATCTTGGAGTCCATGTATTGGTGGTATTGTGCTGGCTTTTCGTCGGAGTATCTGGGTGCTGGAGTGGTACTAGATAGAGAGTGACGTGCAGCGATGGCGCCAGCACCGGCTCCGGTTCCCATTGCTGTGGCGCCTCCGAAGGTTGATGTTGATGCCCACGGCGCCTGGCTTCCAGACTCCATAGGAGATACAGGAGACATCATTGTTGTTGGTTGTGTTGAAGACCTGTCGGTTTGCGTGGGAAGGGTAGTAGTGGTAGAATACGTGTTTGGATGTGGAATATGTGTGTATGCGCTGTTCGTCGGTGGGGAATGGTCAGACGAAGAAGATGCTGCTGGGCTAGCCTCTTTGTCGGTCAAACCCGCGCTTCTGGATTTCTTCTTCCGGTGACGGAGTAGAAGGAGGACGAATATGCCAATAAGCGCCAGAGCTGCGACCCCTCCTACTACCATGCCAGCGATTAGACCTGTTGAGGGGCCGGAACGTGAATCTGAGGATGATGCGCCTGCGGCAGCTGCACTCGACGACGTTGGTTCTTGCGATGCGGTGCTTGAAGCTGCGCCCGCAGTTGACGATGGCTCTGTTGTTGTCGGTCCGGTGCTCCTCGCTGTACTGCTTGCCTCCTCTGTTGCACTCGTTGCCGTGATCTCAGCCGCAATGCTCGTAGGATTCGCGGGTGTTGGTAAAGCATTCACCACACTACCCGCTACGCTCTCGATGACAGCGGTTGGTACCGTAACGCCATTGCTCGACAGCACTGACGAGACATCGCCAACAATGCTGGACAACAGATCGCCAATTTGCCTCCGTTGACGTTGATGGTTTCTCCGTACTTCCTCCGCGCCAATGCTACCTGCCGCAAGACAATACTCGCTCGTATGACTCTCGGCGGTCGAACGATCCGGGTGCGATGTTGGATGCGACGCGTGGTTGTCGAAGCATGAGACGCGCCATAGGTACTGTTCGCACAAGCACGTATAGTCGGGAATCGGGGTGGTATTGCAGGGAAAGTAGCCCTTAACGGCGGATATGCAGGAAGTTATTGCACTAAATTGGTCAATGTCAGTATACTTCGCTCCTGTTTACCAATTCGCGGTTGAGAATGCATAATTACATCTGTTCATGGTTCGCTCCTTGACCAGCAGAAACAATGGGCCATCGCAGCGCCGGCACGAGCTTGAGCAGGACACCAAGCATCATCAGAAGCGTTGTTGACGGATGAACGGACCCGGTTGAAGCGACAGCACCATCAGCGCTTTAACGTACTAGCCAGACCTACTTTCATCAGGCTTGCGAAGTGGCGGTAACTGGGCGTTCCATTCGTTGATCCTGCACCGGCAGAAGCGGGGACACCGACCCATCTATGCAATGCTCTGTTCCGAGCACCCGTCTCGCGATAGGAAACCTGTTGGCCATCGATGATGTAGGTGTGGAGGTGCGGCTTACCTGTGGCTGGGTAAACCAGGGGATCCGTGAGGTTTAACTGGTGGGGAGAACGTTAGCCTCGTGCGCTAACGGGCTGCCCTGATGAAATCGCAACGTGGAGACCATGAGTTTGGGCATGATCACCGTTTGTGAGACGAGAACGCGTCGAGCTAGGATAATTGACGTGCGCAATTGTGCTACGAACGTCGATGCACCGCCACACCTGTAGTGTTCTGGGCCCGCGTACTCTGTATAGAATGTGGATTTGTGATGCTTTGGGGTATGGTAGAAAGTGAACTGCCGACTCCAGAATGATGCTCCGCTGAAAAGAAATGGGTATTGAAGCACTGCCACAACCGTCCTCCAGGCCCGGGAAGTATCCATTGAGAGATATTCAATAGAACCTTACTTCCCGTTGGTACCATCGCCGTGACCTTCCAACCGGTTTACCAACCTCTTGACGCCACTCCACTCCTCGCTACGTGTCTGGACACCTCCAAGATCATCGCCCACCTCGAAGATGGTGACGACGCCATCCATGCCTCCCACTGCAACTCTGCGGCCTTCGTTCCTCTCCCATGCCAACTTGTTCAGACTCCTGTTCATGTAGCCAAGACCAGTTGGCATGTTCGTAAACGCGCCACGCTTACCGTCACTGGGCTTGACCGATTGAACAGGAACCTCGACATCTACGTTGATATCCCAGATTTCGAGACTTCCCGCTCCATCTACAAGCGCGAAAACGGAGGGTTTGACAGGCGACCATCGAACGTCATAAACGAGATCTTCGCGTGCAATGTCGAGAACGGGTGTTACTTGTTGCGTTGCACCAGGAAGTGTCGGGTTGGTAGCGCCTGTAGCAGCCGGCGGGCGGACCTTCCAAAGCTTGACGCTCCAGTCGACACTCGACGACAGAACAAGGTCCCCTAGATCGATCTGACCCTTGGCGGGATGGAAGTCTAGACTCATAACGGGCGCAGCATGGCCAGCGTACTTTACGCGGCCGTCTACACCTGCTTTCGCACCGGCTCGGTCATAGCGATGGCATGGGTAAATGGTACCCTCTTCTGTGCCTGCGAGGAAGTAAGTTGGATCCGATTGCGGGAAGGCTATGCTGGTCACTGCCATATCGTCTGTCTTGGCTGGCGGTGGTGATGTCAATTCAAGGAACTCTTGGGGCTGTGAAAGCATGTCAACAGTCCAGCCACACACAACACCATCCGTCGAACACGAGATGATATTGTTTGCGTTCTGCGTTCCGACAATGTCTAACGAGTAGACGGGATGTGTGTGACCGGAGCCAGTGAGCGGTGTCTTCTGCACTGGTGCGGACTTCGCACGAGTGTCCCATAGCAGCACTTGCCCTGAGTAGGCGCCTCCAACAATGAGATTTGGGTGGAACGGGGAGAACTTTGCAGTAAGGATATCGGACTGCGCATGGAAGATGTACTCGGGTCGATCGTGCATGTGCAGGTTCCATACTTGTACGAGACCGTCAGGGTCGTGTGGCGCGGACGGGTTCTTGGTGTACGAGGCAAGGACAAGTTCTGGGAACTGTGAAGCATGTCAGTGTCATAATCGCCAGACGTCACTGCACTCCATACCTTTGTTGAGAAGCCCAGATCTGAAATCATCCTCTTCTTGCTCCATCGCTCATCCCAGAACTGTGCAATCTCCTTGATGCGGCGACCCTTCTTGCCTCCACTTGAACCGTAACCCTCATCGTCGTCGTCAACGTCTACACCACCGTTTGCGTAGTCTGCCAAGATATCGTAGCCAAGTTGTTGGTCAAGCGCTCGCTCCAACACCTTCGTGCTGCGCTCGACGAAGCCGATGAACTCCTCCGAGTTTTCGACAGCCGTCAATTCTTCGTTTGTGAGGGTCTTGAACGGGAAGTTCTCTTCTGACCCTGGTTGTTGTGCACCCTCTTCATGCGCTTGTTGCAGGACCTTGAGCTCCTCCTCGATTTCCTTGCGCAGCTGCGCTCGGATCTCCTCGTCCCTCTCCTTCTGTCTCCGGCTCAGCCTCTTGCTCTTGGGTGACCGCGTAGGGCTCTCGTCGCGCTCCGTGTCGCTTCCCCCAATGCCTCGGTCTTTCGACGGGGTCCACTCTATGCTTGCTTGTACACCCTTGCTGTATGTGATGATCTCCTTCTCCTTCTTGACCTCGTTGGTGACCTGGCCGTCGGCCTCGTAGACTGTCGCTAGCGGAGCAAGCGAGAGAGTCTGCATCTCTCGGTCAACCATGCCAGTGAGGGATGGAAAGCCCGTGGATCCTTCATTGTCGCTGCTCAGTTGGCCTGCGCTGACTACCGATGTCGGGCGGGTTGGTCGTCCTGCGCCTGCTGGGGAGCCAGGTTGTGTAGAGCCGGGTCTACTCTCCCCAAGGATGCTATTGATGAGGTTGGTGACATCGGTTCTGCGGTCGAGGTCTTCGCTGCGTCGTGGTGTTGGCGAGAGTACCTGTAATGTTAGTCAGTCACTGATTAGATGCAATTGGATATGTAACCTACTTCTCCTAGAGGACTCCCGGTCGCGGATTGCCTGCTAGCTGACTCTGCCTTCCTCAGTTCTCGCTGGCGCTTGAGCTCGGCCAACTTGGCTTTCTTTGCGAGAA